CCCCCACTTCTACTCACAAGTAGATCAACGTTGTTATCAGTGATCTTATAAGCCTATTCATGTATTCCCTTTGAGTTTCAGTCATGGAGGGGGTTTGTCCTGAAGAGACTTGAAGGCTCCCAGGTGAACAGCCTGCTGTTCTGTTTTTGATTTTTCCTGCTGGTTGTTCTTTCAAAAAGTATCTTCTGTTCCTCTAGGTGCTCCAGGCTGGTCTACATGTCCTTTCAAGTGGGAATGTCCCACCTCAGAAGGTTCTGGATGGGGCTCAGGATTTCACCTAAGGCCCTATACTCTACATAGGCTCCACAAGAAGCCCACTTGACTGGGCAAGTTCTAGAACTCCTTTTAAGTATTCCCATCAGTTATAGGCTGAAGACGGACTTACAAGATTCCTGTAATCGTATTTCTCGATATTCCTTTCTATCTCATTCAAATGTCTAATTTATAATAGTAGACAAGGGAAACCAATATCCATAAGACAGTCAAGCATCTTAATATTATTTCCCCTCTTTTATCCATTCTGGTAACGTGGTGGTTACGAATCGGGCTGCTAACCTCAAGGTCGGCAGTTCAAAACTGCCAGCCATTTCGCGGGAGAAAGATGAGGCTTTTTGCTCCAGTAGAGACTTAACAGCCTCGGAAACCCTGTGCAGAGTCACTATGAGTCGGAACCAACTCCATGGTACTTAACAACAACAACAAACCCATTCAGATTATGCCTCGATCCCTGTATCACAGAGCCCTGTTGTTTCAAGACTGAGCATGCATCACTATTTACCTCTGCCCCACTTAGCCCATGCAAACCTGTCTGAGTCCTCCCTTACCCTCCTTGTTCTTCCGTCCCCCTCCAACTTGTTTTGTACTGCCCTCCCCTCCCTTGTTTATTGCCCTTCTCATTATTCAAGCTATGATGTGACTCTCCCCAACCTGTGCCTTACTGCCCCTGTCCCCTCCCTCCCACCCCTGGTAACCCACCAAGAATTTTATTTTTTTTTCTTTTAGTATGGGCAACTTTTCTTAACCTTTTACAGTAATGGTCCTTTTGTGAATAGTCAAACATCTTAACATTATTTTGTCTGCTTTCCCCTTTCAGCCTGTGTCTTGATCCCCTATATCCTGTTGTTGTGAAATGCTGTCAAGTCGATTCCGACCCATAGCAACCCTGTATTTCCGAGGAGCAGCTGGTGAGCTTGAATCGCCAACCTTGCAGTTCAAACGACTTTGCAGCCTGGCGCATTAACCCACAGCGCCACCCCAGGACTCCCCCTACCTCTCTTCCATGTAGCCCATGCCGACCTCCCTGAGTCTTTCCACATCTTCACCACTTCTCCACCCTCCTCCCCTTCTTGTGCAGTGCCTTCCCCCTCCTATTATCGCCCTCCCTGTCCCCTGACCTGTGGGTTACTGTCCCCTTCCCCCCCCACCCATTCCTGGTAACCCTCAGAGACCTTTTAGTGTGGAAATCTTTCCTTGAGTTTTTACAATAATGGGAATTAGGCAATATTTGTCCTTTTGTGCCTGACTGATTTCAACTCAGCATTATGTCCTTAGGGTTCATCCATGTTTTGCGGTGGCTTGCAGCTTCATCGTTAGTCTTCATGGTATTCCATTGTGTGTATGTAGATCCATTCTTCCATTGATGGGCACTTAGGCTGTCTCTGTCTTTTGGCTGTTGTGAATAGTGCTGCGATAAACAATGGTGTTTATCTACTAGCGCTCTGACTCGTATTTCTTGTGGATATATACCAAGTAGAGGGATTGCTGGGTCATCAGGTATGTCTGTTTCCGGCTTTCTGAGGAAGCACCATACCATTCTCCAGAGTGGTTGAACAGTGTGTGCATCTTTCGTAACATTTTCAAATTGATCAAACACTTTCCCTGCAACTATCAAGTGATATTTCTAAAGACGAGAATTTGTGACTTTCTGAGAACAAAGTCTTTTTATTGGCCCTTGAAGAAGAGTCCTGGATGGCGCAAACTGAAGGTTGGGGGTGTGAGTCCACTCAGTGGCAATCTACTACCAAAACCCATCCGTTGACAACCCATCAGGACACAGCTCTGTGCTATTGCTCGTGGGATCACCATGAGTGGGAATTGGTTCCATGGCAGCTGGCATGCCCTTGATGAGCTCACAGCTGTGTTTCCTTCCAGGCGCCAGTGAAAAGAGGTACCCTTGTTTCTGCTCATCTTCCCTGCGCCTTCTCTGTTTTTGCTGTTTGTTGGTTGTGGGGAAAGCATGATTTGTATCATTGTTTGCTTCCCTTGCAACCTTCTTCACTCCTTGTTCCCTGAATTTCTCTTGGTAGTAATTGTAGATAAGGAGATGCACATCCTACAACCAATGCCTCACTCTTCAGCAGAGAAACTTTACAGCAATGACATTCATTGGCTAATTGTTACCTTACGTAGCATTGCTTTCCTGGTAGTTCTAAGTTGTTGCTATTTACAGACAAATAAAACTTAGAACACTGGGAATTGCTGGGGTACAGAATACAGAGGGGAGAGTAGATGGGATAAATATTTGTAGTTTTACCAGAATCCATTTAAAGTAGAAGGGTGAAAAGTATAACTTTAGGAATTTAACCAAGGCCAACCTGGGAAGTGCAATGTCAAATCCCTCCCCGCCGTGGAAAAGGCTACCCTAGGAAGATGAAATGTTGGAGGGCTTCGTTTCATTTGCAAAACTTGCCTGTCTTTGCCGCCTTCCCTTTGGCTGCCTGGGTTGATTTGTATTTGGCTCTGGGGAAGAATCAGGGTAGCATCCTAAAGCGATGGGGGAGTTGGTCTGGTCGGGATCAAAGAAAAGCAGTGCCTATCCCAAAGATGTGATCCCCACCTTAGACTAAGCAATGTTAGTTTTACAAAAAAATGGCTCAGAAAGTGCAGCGTGGACCCATGTTGCCTTTTCACCACCACTACAGTGTCATACAGAACAATGTCACTGCCCCCAAAATGCCCTGTACCCTCTCTTCCTCCTACCTGCCCACAGGTTTGTGCCGGGAGCCAACCCCAAAAAACTTATTCCAGGGTTTCCTGAAGGTTGATGCGTGTGTCGGCGGAAAGAATTACACATAGTTGATAAGTCGTGAAGAATTAAAAATCTTCTTATTACATGCTTTATTCTTCTCTCATTCTTTACTGTCCTGCTCATTCTTCACTCCCCTGCTCTCCTGCTCATCTCTTCTTCTGCTTCTTTACTCCCTTCCCCGCTCCTGCTTTCATCTTCTGCTTC